TATGAGGATATATAATTTCAATGGAAACTTGACCTTTATTCCCTCTTTGGAAGTGACTGAAATTATCTCCTGCAATTGAAATGCTTTATGATTTGGTCAACTACTTAAAATCTCTTTCTACTAATTTATTCCAGGTTTTTAGTTATGCATTTTAGGAAGGTTTTGATTTCCAAGATGGACGGCAGAGGATTTTTGATCCTCTAACTTGTATGCGGCTGAATGCTAGATGCACTTCAAATAAGAGAATATAAATATTTTTCCGATTTCTCTCCAAGTTCAAACATGATAACAGAGCATTCTCGCAATTCTAATTCAATGAATAGTAGTGATGACAAAATATTGTATGGCAGCGAGAGGAATGGTTTTACCTCAAAGATCATTTTCAATCCTAGGACAATCATCACCAACAACCTTAATGAAATCAAAGGCTCCATCCTCCCAATCACAAGGTTAAAATTCAACAAAGAAAATTGATAGACCGGCGGCTAAGCTGGTGGGCCCCACTAGGGTGGGCGACATGAAAGAAAAAGGAAAATTGTTTAGGAAAGTTTTAATTATAGCTAAGACATAATTAATTAGGAAAAAAACTCTAATTTGAATTTCAAATATGAGAGGGAATTATTTAAGAAAATCCTAGGTGAGTTAATATTCATTATGTAAGGAGTAATTAATGGGGAATTATTTAGAAAAGTTTTAATTACAATTGGGAGGAAATTAATTAGAGAAAAAGATTTAATTTGAATTCAAATTTGAGAGGAAATTATTTAAGGAAAGGAGGCTGATTTGGGAGCTAATTACGGGAGTCTATTTAAGGCTAAATATCAGGTGATTTCAAATTATGCTTGATGTTGCTGGAATTAGTTTTGCTTAGTTTGAGTGGGCTCTAGCCAACAACTAGGGATTTGGGAGAGCCCTCTCTTTCTCTCCAATTGAAGATCCAACTATATCTTATGCTTTTCTTCATAGTTCTTTTAATTAAAAAAGAGTTTTTATGTGTTTTCCTTCCTAAATTTCTTGTGTCGTCTCTAGTATTGTTGAAATTATATCTACTTCCTATCAAATTGGTATTAGAGCTGTGTCCTGTGCTGAAATATAAGTCTTCCTCGTCGATTTCTGCTACGTTTGTTCCCTCGGTATTGCTGATTTTTGCTGTTGGAAGATCATATTAGCTGTTTTTTTCTATTTCTTTTGTTGTTTGGAGCCTAGATCTGAGCACCTATGGAGGGAAGAAAGATGGAAGTGGTGGAAGGGGAGTTTAGAAAATTGAAATTTGATTTTGTAGAAAATATTTCAAAATTCAAAAAAATAATTTTCAATAATTCGTGAGAAGATCGATGTGAAGTTTGACATTATGGAGGAAATGATGAGGAAGATGTTCGAGTTCCAAACCAAAATGCCATCGTCAAAAGCAAGGTGAGCCGGCGGCGGTCAAGGAAGTGGAGGAAACCCTAATTTGATAAGGAGAGGGGAATATGAGGAGGTGGAAATGTTGGGGGAAGAAGAGGAGATGCCACCTTTGGAGCCACTTCCAAGGAGGGAAAAGGGTGAAGGACTGAGAATTTTGGAGGAGTTGCAAAGTTTGGAAGGAGAAAAAGATAGGGAAAGGATATAAGGACTAGACATGGTTTAGCCACCCCTACAGTAATATCGAGGGCTGCTCTAGCTAGTTCAGGGGTTGTCTCCTCTGCGGGAATGCGAGCATGTTACCATGTTGAAGGAAAGATTCTTACCTAAGTGTTCGTCTGTACCGTCATCCCTAAATCAAGAATGAAGACATTGAGAGACTAATCAAGGAGATGCTCAAGGTAGGGATCATTCGATCTAGTGTTAGTCCATTTTCTAATTCACTGCTATTAGTCCAGTGCTTCAGCAACAGTTTCCTTCGTTCCATCTTGAGGACAAGGTGACTCTTCAGGAGAGAGGTATTGATGGACCGTCGGCTGAGCCGGTGGGCCCCATTATTGATGGACCGGCGACTGAGCCGGTGGGCCCCACTAAGTTGTGCGACACACAAAAAAATGGGGAATTGTTTAGGAAAGTTTTAATTATAATTGGGAGGGAATCAATTAGGAAAAAAATAAATTTGAATTTTAAATATGAGAGAATTATTTAGGGATAGCTCAGTGGAGTTAAAATTCATGATATAAGGAGGAATCAAGAGGAAATTATTTAGTAAAGTTTTAATTATAATTGGGAGAAAATTAATTAGGGAAAGAGATCTAATTTGAATTCAAATATGAGAGGAAATTATTTAGAGAAAAGGGGCTGATTTGGGTGAGAATTAGGGGAGATTATTTAAAGCTAACTATGTGGTGATTCTGATAATGCTTATATTTGCTGAAATTAGAAGTTCTTAGGTTGTGAGAGATCTAGCTGACGGCTAGGGATTTGGGAGAGCCGTCAATTTCTACATCCACTTCCTATCAAATTGGTATCAAACTTCCTATCAAATTGGTATCAAAACGAGGTTTTGGAGAGATGCAACAAAGAAGATGGATGTGTTACAAGGTGAAGTGGAGCAAAACAAATCCTGGATGGAGTTCTCAACCATCAAAGGAAAGATTTCAATCATGGAGAATCAGATGGAGAGCTAATTTGGATGGTTGGAGATGATGAGGAAGCTCATGGAGATGCAATCCAAAACTCCACTGGCAATTCCAATTGCAAACTCTAACTAAGATTTGATCAGGATTCCTTTGGTTGAATCTAAGGGAAAGGAGATCGGACAAGAGTTCAACAATGAGAGTTTCTTTCATCAAGAATCACCTCCTATGGCCATGATAAGGAGTGGATTAGGGTTTTCGAATGGGGGGACAACAAGGAGAAAATTATATGGTGGAGGTGGTGAGGTGGCCGACCAGTATGGGAGGAATTTTAGGCAAGTAGAGTAGGTGATCGGAGATGTAGGGGCTCGAACCGAGCTGTCGAGATCGGGTCATGCAAGGAGGATAAAAGAAAGGTGAGAATCCTACCCTCAATGCATGGGGAAAACCATTGGAGGGGGAGGAAGTTGGAGTGGAGATGCTAGGGTGAGGATGTGGAAGATGCCGATATTTGAAGAGGATTATGCCCATGGGTGGGTGTACTTGGTGGAGACAGAAGCATTAGGATACGCCCTAAGGGGCACTGCTCATGCAGGATCATCAACCCATTGCTTATTTCAACCAGGTTCTCACAACCAGGGCAAGACTAAAGTCTGTATACAAGCGAGAGCAGATGACAATCATCTTAGCCATTCAAAAGTGGTGATCCTCTTTGTTGGGGTAACACTTTATTATCAGGACAAACAATGTGTCTAAAATTTTTGCTTGAGCAAAGGATGGCAACTAAGGATCATCAGAGGTTGTTATCCAAATTATTTGGATATGATCACATCGGACTAGACAGTTTCCATCCTTCCACCTCGAGGACAGGTGGCTCTTTGGGAGGAGAGTATTGATGGACCGATGGTGGGCCCCATTAGGGTAGGCGGCGGGCAAGAAGAGAGAGGGGGAATTGTTTAGAAAATTTTTAATTACAATTGGGAGGGAATCAATTATGAAAAAATCTAGTTTGAATCTAAAATCTAAGACATAATTATTTAGGGAAAGATGACTGATTTGGGAGAGAATTAGGAGAGCCTATTTAAGACTAACTATAGGGTAATTTCATATTATACATGTGTTTGCTGAAATTAGAAGTTCTTCGGTTGTCAGGGCTCCAGCCAGCTGCTAGGGATTTGGGAGAGTCGGATCTTCCTCTCCAATTGAAGATCCAATTGTGTCTTGTTTTTTCTTTCATATATCTTTCAATAAAAAGTTGTAGTGTGTTCTTTTTCCTAGTTTTATCAATTTCTACATCCACTTCCTATCAAAAATTTCATCTAACGGGTAGAAAAATTACCTCACTGATGCGGCTTCTTCTCCATATGTAGATCTAAGATTCAAAATATAAAAAAATAATAAAAATCGAAAAATATAATGATTTTCTGGTTGATCGACTCTACAATGAGTGAGATTGATAAAATTTCATGTACGAAAGGCCTATAAGAGATATGAGATATAACGAAGTAAATACCCTAACAAAGATAAATCATAAAAAATCTATGAGATTAAAATAACACTCTATGATCAAAACAACACTATGGGAGAAGGCTGACTTTCTAGTCTCCCAACTAGGGGAGAACGCTCACTTTTTGGAAGAAATCTGATATCTCATAATTCTTTGAAATAAAAAAAATACTATGGGATAAGGCTGACTTCATAATCTCCTAATTATACCACTGAATGTTTATAAATTATTATTATAAAATGTGTAATTAAAATATCTAACATATATATTTTCTATCAAAAAGTATTACAAACTGAACCTACATAAATTTCTTTGGAGTCCATGCCTTCCCTTGCTGCTGAGATTTGTTGTATGATAGTACCCTCCCTGCCCTTTAATCTTTAGATATGGATGTTGGGTGTTGCATCTTCACAAATCATGTCTAGGATAGGTATTTTCCAGCCCATTAATGGTGTCACTTCTTCTACAAATCTCATTACTATTATTGATGCACACTCTGTAGTGGAGCTTCATGGTAATTCAGGTTCTGAGCTGTCTTAATATTCTATTAGAAGGTCCCCAGATTTAATGAATAAAAGATTTCAGATTGTATTTTTAGAAGAGATAGAAATCGAAAAATTTATTTCTTCACCCCCATAGTTTACTAAATTTTAAACGATATGAAAGGATTCAGTTGATGAGTTTCCATACCCTTGACATAGCAGAAGCTAGTTTGATCGGATTGAGGGATTGCCACTTGTCATTTGAATTGAGATTACTTTCTCACATTCCATATTTTCATGTTCAAAAAATATTTTGTTTCTTTATTTTTTAATGGCTGTTTTTGGATCTGCTTTTATAATGTAACATTTTCACCAAGTGGTAATACAGACTTGCTAAACATTGACAAACATATGAAAAGACGCTCGCTTATTCTTGGATGCAAGGATCAATAAAATATAGCTCATTACCTTTTTCATCATGTCCTGCTCCACTGCCTCAATTCTAACGATCATAAGTGTATACTCTGACGGAATACCCCACTGTATACTTAATTTAGCGATCTGCAGTTTTCAAAGTGGGAAGTTTAAACAATAATCATGAAAATATATGGTGAAGAATTATAGAGATCAACTAAAAATAAAAAAATGATTCATTAGAAATAGATACATAAAAGGTATGATTACATACCGCAAATTAAAAAGAAAAACGTTTCAAGGCTATTGGCATGCGCATGAGTGGACAAGAAATGAAGAGAAGTTTATTATTCTAGATGATTATCGAAAGAAAATAAAACGCTGATCTGGCATGGACCTCAAAGAAATGCATGGGAGTAATTATCAAAAATGGAATTAAATTAAACATAAATATCGACAATAGATATTGTCAAAGAACATTATCTAGGTGGAGTCCTAAACAACATCAAAAGTTTTTTCCGAGTGAAAAGCCTCATTGCAGGTAAAGAGATGCAAACAAATTATTTCTCAAAATCCAACCACAGCCACGTGGCATGGTTTTGTATAAGAATGCAGTCGAATCTTTGAGGACAAAATGAATATGACCAATGAAGTAGCAGGTAGTAGTATATTGAAGACTCTACGTCCTTTAGAGAGTTTTCAGAGCAACAAACCCTTCGAACATCAAGGACAAAATGAATATGAACAAAGCAGTAGAACGTAGCTAGTTTACTAATGAGTTCTTTCTGAAGACTACAAATATGATATCTAAGATTCCATATCCTCTGTATTGTGAAAGTTTTCGGAGCAACAAACTAGCCTTCCAAATAAATTGAATATAAGATGAAAAATAATGTCCACACATTGTTGCCAAAGAAAAAAAAAAAGATAGAAGTGATCAACCCTAGTGCAATTTTTTGAAGTACTACTGAAGGTTTTGATTATGGGAGTACTGCTTCAGATATCCATCAGAATTAAGCTTTGCTTGAAAATTCATCTACAAGTGATAAAAACCAAGGCAAGATTTAACTCTCATTAAGATAGTCAAAAGAAAAATCAAGAAGATCATTGATGAATATCACTAGCCGGGACTTAAAACTACTAAACTTCAATATGAACTTAAAAAATCGTTTTTTGTTGCTAACTGAACAGCTACAATACGTTTTTTGTCACTATCGTTTGAGGCAGCCTTCATAGAAAAGGATAGGAAATAAAGATTATTTAAAGCAAACCATAAAGAGAATTTTCAAATGAATGTGCAGAAAAAATTAGGAATGATTGTGAGCTCCGAAAATTCGGCCTCGGCCTCCACTCGTTTTTCTTATTCGGCGAGGGAGTTTTAACGAACTAAGTTCCAGGGTAAATTTTGGAAGGCAGATGGGTTTGTAGATAAGACACTACCCAGAGATTTCGCCCTCATTTTGTGAGGACTTTATGATCTGAGTTCTGGTTTCCTATAGGCGCAAGCCCCTATAGTTAATTACCCCTCCCGATAACAAGAGAGAACTTTC